TTTACATTATGGTGATGTAAATTTAATAATTAATTTAATACAGAGTAAATTTCCTTTAGAAATATATTTTATTAAAAGAATTGTAAAGTTATTATCACAATTGTCTCATATCATAATAATCATGAATGTTTAACTGGGATCATGAAAAGAATCATAAATCAAATGCGTAGTTAACATAGTTGAATATGGGATGACAGGTTTAATTAATAATAATTATTTGGGACAAAAGGTTGCGTTCTGACGTGGAAAGTTGATACACTGCATGCGTTTCAAAAGCCCGGAATAATATTTGGCGTGTACGTTGACATTGTCGGACATTATTATCCTTCCACAGATTAAATATACTCGCACCAACAATCGCGACTGGCTCTTATTGGCCATCTTTCATTGTGTTGTTATTACCTTTTCCTTAAAACAAGAAAGATACAGTTTTCGATGCAAAGCTTTCAACAAACGACTATTATTTCGCTATAATTATCCGCGTGATCACTAAAGGATTCAATTTTGTTGAGTTTATCGCGCGTTTGTCACGTTGCATGTTTGCTTCAGTATGTAAAATTCCACTTTACCAACGAATTTTATTGAGCAATATGCCCGATTCAGTGAGAATACACGCGGCGACGGGCACACTCGAGTCTTCAAATTGGCAATTCGACCTTGCGATGGCACAGAAAAGCACACAGACACAAAACAGATAACGCGGGTTGAACTGTGCCTCCTACGTAGTCTATCTAGAGGTCACGCTTGCGGAAGTAAAAGCAAACGCGTTCGATATTGCGGCACTTTGCACGTAATACCATTACCGAGAGCACAGCGTTCAAGCTGCATTCAGACGATGGAACGGCGAGGACGAATGCGAGAGGAGTAGACGATAATCGACTGAAAGACTGTGCACGGTTACTTTTTGATTGGGCCGAGCGCGCGACCGATAACAGTAACGACGGCGCGAAATTGTAAGAGCCGCCGAGCTAATTAAAATCCACAGTCTATGGCGGATTCATTTGAACAGTAATGAATAGCGCGTGCGAATGCGCCGGATGCTGATTGAAAAGAAGCGCGGATTCGTAAGAAGTAAACCACGGCCGCTTGTTAACGAATGGCGAATCTCGGGAAATAACTGAGAAGTCGTGCTTGTAGAAGGCGTGAAATTAATACTCTGACATGCATAAACAAGAGAAGGAAGTTTATCACTGGGAAGTGGAAAGTATATTTTCTACATCTTCTAGTATATACACTGAGAGGAAAAGATATGTAAAAAATAATAAATATTTATTCGGTGGGTAACTTAATAGTATATTTATATAAATCTAAATCCGGTTTAAATCTTGTTTAAATAGAATAAAAAACAATTGTTTTCATGAGAAGCAACGGTTTCAGGAAAATATATATATTTTCTCATTTGAAATGAATTCTTCCTCAATATACAAATATGTAAATCTATACGAATAAATATGTTATTAGTATCCGTCGAACAAAATATTTTTCATTTCTTTTAGATATTTTTTTCTCTCAGTACGCATAATATTTTGCCGACCATTCAGACTCGATGACAAAAGATCACTCAATGTATGCGAACATAATAATGGGAAAACTCGATTCCCACTAATTTTCGATATCTCGTTAAAATTCAGTCTACGTTCGTACTCGGCGTCGCCAGGTCTCCGTCTTGTCGTTTCCGACGACTTCTCCAACGGAGCCACATTTCATCGACACTTAATAAATGGAAAGTTCGCGTTCCTTAACGCGACAGTGGGTTAAACGCCGAACCGTAAATCGTTTCTCCACTCTACATAAGAAAAGCCTATCCAATGCCGTCAAGCCGTCACTCGTTCGCGCGCTCATAAATCACGCCTAGCATACTAGCGAGCTGAAAACGAGTGAAAAAAAAGAAATGTCACAGTAAAAGGAAAAATCTGATCCATCGTCGCGCGAACGTTTGCCCCCTTCCCTTCTCTCTTCTATCGATTGCGGTGCATAAACGAAGGCGCGAACTTGTCCTAATTAATAACGATCAACGAAGCCTTCGCGATGGCGACTCGGTCGCGACTCAATCGAGTTCGGCGGTCTACGTTGATCAAATTTAATTTTGATAAAAATGATTTATAAATGTAGGATACCGGCCAATTGCTGCCGCTCCATCGCGTCTCGCCGGCTTTTATTTTCCCAGAAATACGAAATCCAATTCTCGATAAGACCCCGGGCTTACGTAGAAACTGCCTATTCCTCTTCCATTCCCTCCCCGGCTATTTCTCATATCGCGATCGCGCGGCACCCGCCATATCTCTCGCTAGCCGCGCTCGAGAACATCATCTACGAAAAAGGGAGACCACGGGTGGTTGAACTTTTCCCGGATGTGCGGAATCCTAACAGACTCATTTAACGCGCGCGCGCCACACCGAAAGTAGATTCTTTGTGGTATTATGGCATTGCACGCGGATATACTTGCGAAAACTTTATGACGTAATCCATCCCGGGAGTGGCGGATCTTCTCGTCGACACTCGGTTCTGCGAATGTCTTGCTGTTCGATAAAAGTTCTCAACTGCATCCGTATCTAGCTAGACGCATCTCACTGGTTGATGAAGAAAGTGAGAACGTGCTTTCTCTGGATTAATTAACAGTCATGAAACGCGCAGCTAGAGATGGATATGACTGGATATGGCTGGTCGAAACATTCGTCGATTTGATCTGTCGAGATTCGATCCATCGAGAATCGATGTGCCGAATAGTAAGGAACTGAGTTCCATAGATGGTGTCGTTGTAGAAGCGCGGCAACGTACGTAATCGATTGCGCGGCCATCTTCCTTTTGTGTTGAACAGCCGTTGACGTATCGATCGAGCATCGCTCCGCGTTTCACTTCTTTCCTCCATCGAAAATGAGTTTCTCGTGCGGGAACAAGCGTCGGGAGTGCCGAATAGCGACGTGCAATCATCTCGTCTCGTAAGTACCATATTAGGCAGTAATCTTCTTGTTTGTCAGTTTACACAATCAGCGCTTGTCGAGCCGGCACCTGCCACTCTCATTATTCGTCTCATTCAAGTAGCAATCGGGAGATTGTCAAATTTATTAATCGGGAATTAGAAATTCAGTGGTAATCAGATAGAAAGACGACGTCAAGAACATTCGCGACGTCGAATCTCAGGCGACAGTGCCGAGAGAGAAAGAAAGAGAGAAAGGAGTAAACCCATTGAATAAAGAATGAAGCATAAAGAGAAAATCCTTTATTAAAAGTACGAAGGATGTGACGTAATGAAAATGAACCAAATTATCGATACTATGGAATCGAAGTAAATATTATGACATAATATTGTCAATTAATCGAATAGACAAAGGTGTGTAAACGTATATTGAAGAAAAAATTATTACAAGTGACTAATTTTATTTTCCTCACTAATATAAGCAAAATATAAATACAATTTTTCTACTATTCTTTTAAAATTAATATTTCTTTGCTATTTACTTACAAGATGTTTAAAGTATATCGCCAAACTGTGTTTCCGGTAACGTCACTTATGACGTAGTTTACATCATCAAACTGAACCAATGCAACACAATCGATTATCCATGTTGCGATATATCGCAACATGCTCGTTCCTGGTATTCTTTATTCAATGGTATACCACAGCGCGCGTTGCGGAGAGCAACGTACAGCATTGTATATGTTTTGGCGCGTGTTTTTAACGTTCTTAGTTGTGCATTGTTTACGGTCATCTTTCTTTCGCGTCGAGCAGCCGTCGTTGACACATCAATCGAACATCGCTTCGCATTTCACGCGTATTTTGTCCGTCGAAAGTGACTCTCGTGCGGAACTTTACGCCGAAAGTGCTGAAATAGCGATATGCAATCGTCAGAATATATCTTATTAGGTAGTAATCTCTTCGTTTTTGTCAGTATTTTTTTTCACAGTCGATGCTTGTGAATGCATGTCGAGTCGAAGTCTATCTCTTAACATTTGTTAATGCCACTGAGTCACTCAAGTAATAATAGAATCGAGCGATCGACGCATTTATTAATCTGGAATAATCTGTAATTAAAAATTCGGTGGTAGTTAGAGATAGACAGATAATGTGACGTCAGAGATACGTCGAGTTTTATTAGCGTCGATCTATAGCAGGAGGCATAGAGAGAGAGAGAGAGAGAGAGAGAGAGAGAGAGGGGGGGGGGAGAGGGGATCCTAGTACTTATACACACATATATTTTTTTATTTTTTGTAAAGGCTAGAAGTTGCACGGACGGCTTAATTGAACACTCACTCTTGAGATGTATTAATCATTTTGGTTACGCGTTTGCAGCGTGCACGACCGCGGCAATATTTCGACGGTATTATAAAACTTTTTTACAAGAGTACTTCATTCCCTGGCGACGCAACACGCATGCAACATTTTAATTAAAATGTTGGACAAACAAATGCTGATATAAATCAAGCGGTCGGTAAGCAAAGCGAAATATGTTCGTGCATTTTCTACGTTTGCTCACAATGACCGTAAAACAATTACAATAAATTCGCACGGCTGATGAACCCGCATGCTCATGATTTCAGTTTCTAGCGAATAACTAAATAATAATTATGATACCGTTCCTAATTTAAATTTCGAAACTGGCCGGACGACCATTATTATTCTTTGACCGTATAAATTCGTTGTATAAAATCGTCCATTTCGTTGTTTTATTCAGTTCACTTTGCGATATGAAACGAATATTCCTAATCCTTCCTCGTTAATGGCGTGAACGATTACAATTTTTTTCCTGCCGGTTGCAATAACCTGAGCCTTGTGTGGACACATATATTTATCCATGAAAATGTATATGTATGCAAGCAAACATCTATATAAAATGTAGTTCATAAAATAAACATTATCCCGACTGAAAATACGATCGTTTCAACACAGGGATATATTGATTTATTTATCGTACATATTGCTTGTCGCGAGAGCGAATTTTGCAGTGTAGGCGAATCAACGAGACCTTTGCTGGCAATAATGGCGCACGTAATTATTGCAGGACCTCATGACGAAGAACAAGCAGCGATATCGACGGCGCTTGCTGGTCTGCGCTCTCGTCGTCATAATTGTACTGGCTTTGGTGATCGCGGCGACGATCCTTTTGACCGGCAAGCCAGGTTCCTCGGCGTCCACAACGGACAGCGCGCCTGGCATCTCTCTGTCGGAATGGCTCTCCGGTTCGTTAGCCCCCGAGAGCTTCAACGGCACGTGGATCAGCGGTAAGTACCGCACCTTTGTTTCCCGCCCGGCGTATAAATCCCTTCTTTTTGGCTCCGCGCGCTGCGTGAAAAACATCCCGCAGTGCCGCCGCGGCGCCCACCGTCTTCGTTTCCCGACAATCCGGAAACTTTCGGGATGAGTCAGGAACGCGCGGGATGGGTGGGTGTGTGTGGTTTCCGAAGTCTAATTAATTCGAATCGTGCCGCACGAGCGACGCGCAATTGAGCACCCTGGACACGACAGGGCTGCAGTCCGTTTTCTTCTGACTTTACAAACGACCGAGACATTTAGACGTGGAATTCGTCCTATTGGTATTTAATGAGCGAAAAGAACGAAAGAAAGAAAGAGGAAGAGAGGGAGTGAGATTCCGTCGCTTCCTCCTCTTATTCCACTGACGACATTTTGAATAGCGCCCAGCAAATAGAACGCTCGTCGTTTTCCCGAGTTTTTCTCACGGCTCGAGTAAACGCTGATTATTTCCTCTTTCGATGGTGTTAACGATCCACGGCTGCGGCTTCGCTTTCGGCGGGAACGCCCAACCGCACGGATAAATGAGAAATTCGGACGTGAAGTTCTCCTTTGGTAACACGAACATTTAATGTCGGCTTTACGTCGGTGCGTTTCGCGTCCGCAAATCCTCCCCGCGGCCCGTCGCTTCGCCTCGCCACGCCTCGCTTTTGTGCGCGCCAATTTCGCCGTGCTATTTTCCGTTTTGCCGTATGACAAAATTATCATAAATCATAAATCTCCCGTGAGACAAAAGTCGCGCGGATCCTCCGCGCGAACGGAACGTCAAATTATATCACGGAACGTATGTCAGTCCGTCAGTTTTTCACCCCTTCCTCCTCGCCCCTTCGGCGCGCCTCTCGTACTGCCGCGCTCTCGCGGACCGTATTATATAACAGCGAAAGAGGATAATAAATGATTCACGCGGCCGGGAGCGTACAAAGCGGATACGGCCCCGTCGGCGAATATTTATACGACCTTTTTTCGCGCGTGAATGGCGTTTCGCAGCGTCGTGCCGCCCCCGTGCCATACCATGCCGCGCCGCGCCTCGTGACGGCGCGTCGCATCGCATCGCATCGCGCCACGACCGCTGAAGTATGAAGTTCAAACTAATTTTATATTTGAGGCGGCGTCCATTCTACTTCATTCATGGATCCATTTGTCTTTGTTACGGCACACGACCGCCGACGGCCGACACCGGTGTCAGCCTATAAATCCTTTCGTCAGGTCGGGAACAAAAGACGGGTTTTAATGGATTTACGCGCGGCTAGTATCTTCCCACTATCGCGCTTAATTCTTTTTGCTCGGAAACGTCACGAGTTCCCCTGGACCGCGCGCGTGCGTAACGACCCTCCTCCACCTCCTCGTGCGCGCGCGAATAATTCCGACTGCGAGGCAAATCCGCGAGGATTTTCCGCCACGGAGATCGAAATTAAACGCACGCCCTGCCGTTCAAAAGTGCCGTCGCGCTCGCGCGAGTTTTTACATCGAATTTGCATCGAACAACGAGGAACAGTGCACGAGTGCCGCGCTCGTGTCGTTCCGCAACGCCTGTGTTCTCACTAAGAGGTGTATTCGAATTGTGTTCGTCGCGCGATATCTGGGAGGAGAAGTCCAAAAGAATCCATGGAAGAAATCGAGGAAACGCGAGCCTCGCTTGTGCGCACATCGCGTCGCGATCCTGCTTAGCGCGTTGCGCAGTGAGATCTGGTTTTGATTTTTTGTATATTCCTCGCGGTTATTGGGGAAAAGTAAAAAGCATTTCCCAGCCAGCCACTCGTTACAATACTCAGTTTTCGGCACCTTTGTTCAAATCTCATCAAATATAATATCAAGATGCATGAAGATTTATTATTTATTAATTATTTATCAATTACCATTAGTTACTTGCTTATTCGTCTTTCTTTTTTTAATATACCTAATGTCCGGCAATATCCGCCCAAAAGTGCCGACCATATTTTTACGTATTTCGCAAACGTAATTTCGAACGCCAGGCCGCCCTTCTTATTCTAAGTCCCGTGTTTCCTGCTACAAAGCGTCTCGTACTAAGTTTAACTCGAGAATCAGAAAGACGTACGAAGCCAAGACGTTTGGCGTTCGAATACGCGTCAAGAACACGGTCCCTGGAGATGTTCGCCTATTTGAGGCACATCCTCCTATTTGGGGATCGGTGCACTCCGCGATGTTATCGCAACGTTATACGTGAGGTCGCAGTAGAAGTCGCTGACACTGCGGTGACAAACTGTCACGTTTGTTTTGATCTTACGCTGAGATACGGTGGTTGTTGCGACGAGTGCTGACCGAAATAGTGACACGCTGGAGTGTGTAACGTCGACGAGTGTGCATCGGAAACGAACCTGTCGCGACTTCCTCCTCGGTTTTTCGAGTGTTTTCCTCTGTGCCGCGTCTCTCTCATCGGCGCTTTAAGAGTGTTCTCTTCTCGGGAAATTGGTACATCCGTTCGTCGGATGAGCGAACGGGCGCGATAAAACTGATTAGCGTATTCCAGACACGCGCAGATTGGCGTTACGCGCCGCGTATTATTCTCCCCTGGCGATTCCTTTAACGATGATAAATTCCCGCGCGCATCCGTACTGATTACGGTAAACATGGTAAATATATATCTTTGCCGATATACTCCGACTCTACGGGTCGGCATTCGCCGCGGCGATCAATATAATTACGGCACGGACGACGTGCGGAAATAATGCGCGATTCGGAAGATCTCGATCTCGCCGTCTCTTTCTCTCTTTTTCTTGCTGAGCGTAATTTGTTTCTCTTCTCTCTTATGGCCCGCGGCGATGGGGCGCCTCTTAAAAATTAACGAGGTCGAGTCCATTCCGGCCAAGGAATCAGAGAAACGCACGTACAGTAAAGTGTATTAATGGCGTTTGTCGGGGGAATCCTCTTACCATTTCGAGTCCTTCGCCTATTCGCTGTCGCTTTATTTCGTGTCTCTTTCGTAACGATCTGTTTGCTTATTTTTCTACTTGACAGCGCGAGTTGAATCTGCGCGCGTGCAAATTTACGCAATTAACAATAGTTTCAGTGTTGCGCCTTGATATACGATAAAGCGCAATGACAGCGAGATATCGGGAGGAAACGAGAGAGAAATTCTTGTTATCGGCGGAAAATCACGAAATTCAGCCGCTGGGCGTCCTGCATGTATGAATGAGTGCAAAATTTGATCAAAATTTAAATTTCTGAGATTGGGAATTTCCGGACTGTTATTTTTCACAATTTTGTGCGCGCGTGCAGGACCCGAAAATATTCGGCTGTATTTGTCACATTTCGCCGCACTAACGTTGATAAAAATTTATACTAACGTCAAAGTGCAGATTCGTGTTACGGGCGAGAGTTCATAACGTATAATAAAATCGTATTTTGACACGTAAATTTTTAACGAGAAAACACTTTAGGCTATTCATAGCCATAGGAGGATTTATAGCGCGAATTAATAGGAGACGCAAATAATGCGTGTAATTTCGCGTTCGCCTAATTTTATTGAAAGTGGCCAGTGATAATGGAAGCTCGATCGCTGTTAACTGAAGCGCAATGTATTATCGCCCATCTGCATCATTTTCAACCAAATTTGCGACGGGTCTTTCTTTCCTAACTCGTTTCTAACTCGAAAGCTACTGACCTGCCCGCATCTTCGTTGAAAAGAAGATCAACTTCTCGCTCTGACCCAAGAACGTTCCAAGCTATCCGTTTGGATTCGAAAGCTCGCCGATATTTTAACATTATCGCTGTGTTATCGTTTCGAGGTCAGGGTCGAGAGGCGATTTGAGAAAGGATCAACGCTATAACGCGTCCGATTGGCGGTTTGTGGACGGAAGAGAGCGCGAAAGGTATGCTCTATGGCGGTAATCATGGTGGTTGATGAGAGTTTCACGCCAGACACAACCGCAGCCACCATTTAGCCCGCGCCAAATTGAGGTAACAGAGGGGGCGCGGTTAGGTTACCGTAGGCGTTCGCTGATAAACCTGGGGTTTCGGGGGCACGGCGCGTGCATGATTGCGTATAAATCCGGCGCTGACAAGCGAAACGTACGTCGTCGTCACCGCGGCTCGCAAATCGCCCCTACAAGCGCAGGAATCGGTGACAACGTTCGTGAGCTCAACGGTAATTTTCTTAGGCGCGCTAATTCCCCGAGGAGACCTCGTTCGTTTCGTGCGTTCCAATTCCACGATATCAAACGTCGCGCAATACTCTGGGAATGCTTATTACGTCTCACAAATCTAGATACCATTGAAACCGTCCATGTGATTTTGCGTTTTGACGGGGAGGGACGTTGAATTAAATCAAAGGGTTATAGTCGGCCGCAAAGTATGCTCTCGTTGCGTGACGTCAAAATCATTTCTTTTGCCAATCGTATCGCGTCACAGTATCTGGTAGCTATTTATCGAGCACGCGAATAATAATGCAATGTCAGTTGCAGTTTCCGTCGGGTTCGTGCGGTATGGTCTTACAACGGCGACAAAATTGCAGCCGCATAACTATGTGCTTGCAGTCTGTAGTATGTAGCTGGATATTACGCGAGTGCACGTCGAGTGTTTCCATGTTACTGATCGCACATGTAAGATATAACTGGAGAAATTGCGTCTGCGGCGGATTGGTTGATCATCGACTTTAAACAATACGCATTTTTATTCCTCCGTCTGCTTCGTGAATCGTTTCGGGGACAGTTGAGATTTGAATTGTTTGTAGCTAAAAAGAAAAAGTTACAAACACTGGAGGCTAAATGGCGCTCTAACTAAAAAGTAGAGATCTGAAATAATAAAAAATTTTTTTGCCTCGATCTTTTTTTACTCATTTTTACACATTTTTACTCATTTTTACACTGAGAGAAAAAATATCTAAAAATTAGTAAATTTTTATTTGATGGGTACTAATTTTGCTTAAATTTAAATTATTTTATTTAAATAGAACAAACAATTGCTTTCACGAAAAGCAAAAGTTTCCTTAAGGTTCCAAGAGAAAATGTATATT